GACACAGGTGACTGGCTCAACATGATACTTTCGGCTTTAAGTTTTAGTTACGCGTATTACGCGTAACTACGATCGCACTGCGACCCGTAATTACGAAAATCTATATGATACAATTACGCGTAACTGCAAAGTTTTCGCAATGATCGCAGTTACGCGTAGCTGCGACGCAGTTGTTAAAAAATAGGCGACATGGGTGGTGATCACCAATGCTTGACAATAAAAAAACTTTGTTCTATTGTCATACATCTCTGCATCAACAAAGAAAAAGGATAAAAAAGTTTTATCACGTTGAAATTTCTCTCAGATAGGCAGAAAAACAACTTTTCACTGTTTTTTTAATATAGGGATCAGATAAGTGAAGCATGTAGCGGTATCTCTTGTTATTATGATTTTTGTTTTTCTTAATTTTGATGAAAAATATAAATAAAATGTGATAACTATGATATGGATAATACTTATACGAAGAATTCGTTAAGACGTATCTTGAGGGTGACAGTGAGAATACGAGAATGTGTTTTTAATTTAATGAATGAATGAATGATGAGAAAATAGAGAAACATATTCGTGTTGATAATTAAATTAAACCGAATATTCTTCAATAAAATAAATTTTGCTTTCTAATTTAATTTTATATTTGTTATGTCCTTCTTTACTTAAACTTGATTTAAGTGCAAACGCGAGTTCATCACAAGGACAAACATAAACTTTATTTCTTCAAATCAAGTGTGTCCATATCATCACATACAAACATATATATATATCAAAAGAAGAAGAACAAAGGAGAAGAAAAGAAGAGAGCGGTACGAAAGAAATAGAGAGATGATAGACAACTAACGACGACGAAAACCACTGAGCTTCAGCTGTTTTTCTTGACTGAATAGTAGAGCAAACACTAATCACTAGTTTTCACCAACTTCCGCTCCATTCCGCTGAACCAATACAAATTCTACAGACTGTCCTCATACCTAATGTTGATGTATATAATGAGTACTTCAAAATCCTGAAACATTTGTACAATTGTACAATTTCTCTCAAAAATAAACAGAAATTATCTTTGGGAAAACTGATCTTAAAGTTCAGATTTTTGAAAAATCGAGTTTTCTAAAAATTCTAACGACCGTGGAGTTTTTAAGACACTCAACGGGTAACCGTTCACTTCTCTGTAAAATGCGAAGAGAAAGCAAAATATTCTTCATGATCGAACCAATACAGAATAAAAGTACAACGCGTGGCGATGGGGTCAGGAAAGTACGCTCACATGAAACATCTTTCATAGGACTAAGCTCATTTCATTACGATCGGTGATCGACACCGTTTGTTCGTTGAGTTTGACTCAAATGCAAAAAGACAGCAAATCTAACAGACATCCACGAAATGAATCAGAATCGGTTCACAGCTGAATGCAGCTTCTCTTCATGTCATATGTAGCTCCGATTAATAAATGTTGTCGACAAAAAAATGGATGGTAACATATCAAACGATAGATCTCAAGCTTTTTCTATTTTCTTAGATCTGACCTCTAAGTCATTATCAAGAAGCACCTAAGATGAGAGTAAGTTAACGCATTAATATGAAAGAACGTATCGAATCCATAGCAAAATCTCTAGGACTTCTTTATATCTGAACACTAATTAAGGGATTTTCATACGTTTCCAGAAAACTTTCCGCATCAACACGACTTTTTGGACGATAATGATTGCTTTCGTGAACGCCAACAACACGATGAATTTCTTTATATTGGCTACATACAAAATCATCAAATCATATTCAAAAAAATATTCAATCTCAGTGAACATTTCGAAGAAAATTCGCTATTTTATTGTAGATCGAAAGAACTGCTTCATAATTAAACATGAAACGTCACAAATTTTAACACAACTTGTTCGGTATCACCAGATTATCAGTATACGTCTAATTGCCAAATGCCTAATGTACATCATTTATATTAGATTACACGATGTAGTTTCTTTTAATAATATTCCATACGCCCTAATTCCGTTTTCATCATAGACTCGTAATATTTTTCCCTGACTGAATATTCTTTGTGTTCGGTAAATGTATCTGTCGGTTTTACACGACATTGAAACATAATTTTAAATTTATGATTTTCAACTGTGAACTCAGGAGCATATTTGTCTGCACTCACATTGTAATGAGTAGCCAAATAAATACCTCGACAATCTGCTGTCTCCAATACCCTTTAAAGCTTTATTTTTAAATGCATCTTTTTTAAAATACTCATGTTTTAAACCTTGATCAGTAATATTTCTTACAGCTTCATCATTAGTACCATGATAGGCAATACACCATTCCCCGGGTATATTTTTTCGTCCTAACCATAACTGATCATTTGGATATTTATTAACAACATTCAATGCATGTCTGTACCAACCGTTGGGTAAATAGTATTCGCGTCCACCCCGTTTAGAGCTACACAACGTGAAACGTGGTCGTAGTTAAGGTTAAATTTTGGATTAAAGTCAGTTGCTTGTAATTATAAATGTTTTAAAGCTGCTTCAAATTTATAATCATATTTTTTTGGTTGTATATGTTGCAATATATTATTTTGTTTTATTAAGTTATCGGCTGCGGATGCTTGTTGTTGTAAATGATGAGCTAAATTTTGCATTTGATCACCTACGCCACATGCTGTACGATATGTACTATCATCGTAATCAACTTTTCGATTTGTAAAACATAAATTAACATCCAGTTGACAAAGTAATTCATTAAGTACAATAATAAGCGCTTCAGTATTATCAATCGTAGGTGAAAATGGATTTTGACTAAAATCTAATGAAACTGTTTTTGTCATTGTACGATATTTTGCTAAACAATCATACATTCGGCGGTGATATATCGATAATGGATCATACGTCTGAGGAAAACGACAATGAGATGGTTTTTCTTGCTGAAACCACCATGGTGTAATATCAGCACATGTATTTTGTGCTGTTATATGTTCAATACGAATTTGTGGAAGAGAAGTTGTAAACATTGATCGAACTGTTACCACGGAGGTTTTTTTTCTTTTGCTGAATGTGCTTCTTCCTTGTTTGAGCTAGGAAGATTTCTTATAATTAAGCCACTTAAGGTATCTAATTGTCCGATCAACCTTTGATGCATTTTTTGAATACTTTCTTCAAACGTTAATTCCATGTTTTCAATATTTTCTTTTTTCCCCAAGTGCGAACCCATCATCTGAATTGATCGTAATACAGTTTCTATACCAGTTCTATACTTTTAATATTTTTCTGTTTTTTGTGTTTCTATACCTGTAATATTGTTTCTTCTAAAACAAAAAACAACTATTTAGACTATTTTACCTATAAATATAGTAGAGCCCTATCAAATTAGGAATATCTCTATCTTTTTCCTTCTTGGCAAATATTATCAAATGTATACATTTGCTAACATTTGCCAAGAAGTAAAAAGATATTCCTTATTTGATACGGCTCTAATATGTAGAATTTTCCTGGATAATAGATAGTAGAGAAGAATATCCAGATCGGACTATAGAAGAAACTATCTTCTGAAAAAAAACTTATGCTTTGAAAAAAGTGGCTGGCGGGAAGACGGGATTTCTGGATTGAGAAGCGCATATTACTAAAACGCTTTTCAAAATGAGAAGATTTATATCTTTTTCATTACATAAAAAAACTTGCATCCCTAAATAGCATGAGACCTGTGATTTTCACTAAAAATCATCATTTCTGATCGTCTACAAGACCTACTGTGTCTCGTCGCCAGCACTTTTCTATTTCGTAGTAGATTTTACATGGACTTACTTAACAGTAAGTTGGAGCTATTGACATTATTCGGAAGTTAGTTGAGTAGTCATAGCGGCTGCTCAAGCAAAAAAATGGATCTAGAATCGGGTGGTTATAGCTAGGTAACACGGTTTTCGACCCGGTTAAGCTAGCTCCACCTCAAATAGTTTAAAGTAGAATCAGGCGGTTCAACTTACTTCAGGCGGTTGGGAGGTTATTAGCTAGGTTAATTGCCCACTTAACCGACCGTTCAAGTTAGCTCTGTTTGATCTAGCTCCAACCGCCCACTTAACTGACCGGTCATGCTAGTTTCTGACATCAAATACATAGATACAAGGATACATCTAGCCGCGAATGCATTGAGCGGCTCTTGTCTACACTGTAAACTAGAAAATCACTTATAGAGTATCATAAACGATATTCTAGGAAAGTCCATACAAATTCCTAGACGAATTTTCATTTTCTTGAAAATAAACTGTTGATATTCAAGTTTCGATTTTCTGTAGGAAGTCAAATTGAATTTCTATTATTTAGAAAATCAAGCATTTTCTAAAAGTTTGAAATTCAACGGATGAATAATAAAAGTTTGAAAATGCTTTAGCTTTAGCAAGTCGATTTTCTGTAAAATAGAATTTCAAAAAAATTTACAGTGTATGAAAAGTACGTGTGAACCAAATAAGTACTATAGTCATGATATCAGTACAAAAGTTGCATCTGAGGTATTCCTCGACTGCTGATCAACACTTTTATGTTACATTAGAAATTTTACCTAGGATAATATGCTCTCCTTCTAAAAGGATTCGAATTAATATGGCCACTGTTGCTGTGATATGATTACTAGACAGAGTGAAACAAAATTGCTCCCATACATTAGTGTGGACAAGGTATCTAAAGACAAACTGACGAATCGCAATATATGAGCGTAAAAATGATACAATACTTCGCGTTTTACCATTGTTTTGCGAATTCGTAATTCAGTGCGAACTGATGCAAACTGACAAAAGTGATGAAAAAATAATCAAAAAGACGCCTCTTTTGTTCCTCTTGCCAATTCGTAAACTGAGACAAATTTGTAGGCAAGACATTTCGGGTATCCATGAGTTCGTTAATCGCATTGGTCTACTATCTACGAATTCGTGAAAAGATCTTTTTGGTTCCCAAGAATTCGTAAATTGGCAAAAATAGGATAAAATGTGAATTTACGAATTCGTAGATGCTAAAGCATATCCGACTAATTCGTAAATAGAACTCGTAAATTCGTATACTTCTCACCTTATTTTGAAAGCAAAGGAAAGAATTTAATTTTTGTGGTGATGAGAACCTTCATTTACTCTTGCTTCTTGTTTTTCCTTCAAGAAGATTGAAATTATCGAGTAAAAGAGAAAAAGCTAATAGTCTTTAGAAAAGTATTTTATTAAGCAGAAAGTTTTAGTCAAAAGTAGAAAAACATTTAACAAGACGTTAAAAACCGTTTACTAACCCTTTTTTAGAAGTTTAGTAAAACGCCATGACACAGGTTTAGTAGACTATTAAACCCTAAAAGGGTTTTTTATTAAACTTTTGAAGCGGTAGCATGTCATTACATTTTAGTAAACCAGGGATTTAGTAAACGGCTCTTTTTGTTTAGTGTGTATGCCTGGTACTTGGTATATAAATAAGAGAATATAACCAAACGCTTTTTTTGCAAAGGTTCGATATCGAACCACTGGGATGGTACTGAAACATTTGCGGCTAGAACCTTTTATCCGAAAGAAAAAAAAGTGTGAGACAGAACCCTTTTTTGACTTGAACCATAAACGTTCATAAAATGGTACGCAGTTCTTGAACCTTAAAAAGTTCTATCCGGCACCGTTTTGTATTAGGGAGTATGCACTGCTCGTTGACTATAGAAAGACATATCCACGTGTTTAAATCTGAAAACAACTTCATAGTGGTTCAAGAGTGGTGATCGAATGTGATTGATATGACAATGAATGTTGCATCAGGACGGAATACAAGCAATTAGTAGTATATCTAATATTTGACAATATGACCTCTTTCCAGTGAAATCAAAAACGTCACTAACTGTGTGATTATAAAGTATTACACTAACAATTGTGTCCTTTTGTTCGAATCCAAATTATATATAAGAGAGAAGTCTTTAGTACGTTTTTCGACAAGGTTTGCAAATAATCATCAATACTTACTATTTTAAAAGCTATACAGGTAAATCGAAAAACAACAACGTCAAAAATGCTTTTCATGCCTATATTATATGAAGAGAACAGGAATAAAAATTGTACACTTAATCAATATTTCGCTGAAACACAATTTTTACATAGCCAACGTTTAAACCAAAAACACACCAATTATGAGGAAAAAATCAAGAACTCTCTTCTTTCCAAGACATTGATAATGTATTGCAGAATAAAAGTAATTAAAACTGAATATACAGACGTGATTTACAACTTATACTTTCAATCCCATTGTAGTTTTACATCAAAAGCGACTAATATTCGCTAGCTATGTGTGTTGGCTTAAATGTGCCGAAGCCACTATTTTCACACTAACACTGTGCACATTTACATATGAGATGTACTTTATCTGTCGAATTAGCCTTTCATTCCATATTGTGCTACTCATTCTAATCTTTCAAAATCATTTGTTTAAACTCGCTGAAAGAGAAAATTTTGCGTTCTGTGAATTATTTTATGCATAAATCATGTATTGAAAATAATAAAACAATCATTCAACTCAAGCATTACAAATATAGAAAGGCACTTGAGAAAAATATACAATATTTGAAAAATATTAATCGCAACATTGACAAACCAAAGT